TGCCACACTCACTTTAACTCATCCTGATACTGTCACACTCACCCCCTTCAACCAAACCGCACTCAACTCCCCTCGATCTGCCACACTCACCATATCACATTACCCCTAATCCTGTTACACTCACCTTTTCTCACTGTCACGCTCACCATTCCTTTTCCTGTCACATTCCTGTCACACTCCCTCCTCCAACCGTGCTACACTCACTTCCAACCCTGCCACACTCACCCCCTTACTCTGCCACACTCACCCTGTCAATGAATCTACCTTAATCATGTCACATTCACCTCCCCTTGCCCTATCATACTCACTCCTCCAACAATTCCGCATTCACCCCAAATCTGTGATACACACCTCCCTAACCATGCCACATTCACCCTGTCACATTAACAATTAAACCTGACATGCTTACCTCCCCTCACCCTGTAACACTCCATCCTTCAACCATGTCACACTTTCCCTTCCTCACCCTGTCACACTCACCCTGCCACAGTTACCCCATTACGAACCCTGTCACAGTCACCCCTGAAGACAATCATCATACACACAAAGTCATAAAACATAGCTTGGCCATAAACAAAGTGTACACAGGCCACAGGTAGACCACCAAATACACAAAACACCGCACATACACACAAAACACTCACTGTCAGACACTCTCAGGCACATACACAGGTAGACAATGCCAGACACACTCAAATACACACAGCCAGATAAATACACATTGTGACTATATGTCTTTATTAGTCAATATGTGTGTCTCTGTGCATCAGTGTGTTTGTGTGTATGTGCATGCATGTGTTGGTGTCTATATGTATTTGTGTATTAGTGTTTATTTGTGTGCATGTCCTAGTGTGTATGTCTATGTCTGTAATGTGAAGGTGGTATGGTATGGGTAATGCAAAGGTAAAGTTGGAAGAAACATATAGATTATATGCATACATATGTGGGAAAAAATGTCTATGACATTGTTTTCTTATCAGTAACTTTATTATTTGGAAAATTGTTTTTTTAAAAGCCTAACCGAAATGTTTATTTTTGTTTCCAATAACCCCTTCCCCCTGGCACTTATGTATACACGACTGCCAGGCTATAAAACCATACCGAGCAATCGTGTATAAATGATTAGCATAATTGTAAATTACATTTTTTTATTGCATATTATACCATAACTACAGTCAAAGAGCTCACAACGCAGGGGCATAGGGAGCCGCGACAATGCAAGCCTCTAAAGATGAACACAGAGACTACCTCTCTGTATCCAAAACTGCAAGTCTGCCATTTAATTTATCTACAGGTTCTTATGAACACGCTAATGGGGCTCATGTTTGAGTTTCGCCTAAGGCCTCACATAGTCTAGAGCCGCCCCTGCCTGGTATACTAACCACCCCTAACATGGTTACACTCGCCACCCTCCACAATCACTTAGAAACCCCCAACTCTCACATTCAAACCTCCAACCCTGTCACTCTCACTCCCTAACTGTGGCATGCTCACCTACCCTCACACCTACTCCCCAAACCCTATCACACTTACCCAACAGATGTCGGTGTATGTATCTGTGTGCCAATGTATGTAAGTAACGGTGGATGTATCTCTGTGTGTGTGTCAGTGTGTGTAGCTTTGTGTCTGTGTATTTGCATGTCTGTTGCTGTGTGTGTCTGTGTATCTGTGTGTGGCAGTGTATATACTACACACAAATGCACGCCTGCATTCAAAAGCCAACATTCACACATACTCCTTACAAAAACATGTTTACATTCAAACACACACTCATTGCTCAGTGCTAAATACAACCCTGGAAGGATGGGCAAATTGTAGATCCCAAGCTAGCAAAGCATTGTGGATTTGTACGACAGATAGGGATCGACATTTTGGCCAACCTTGTGCTAGTAGGCGGTCCAAAAAAAAATTCTTGCAACCTGTGGACCCTCAGCAACTTGTCAGTGTATGTGTGTGTGTCAGTATGTCTGTCAGTATATATGTCTGTGTGTTTTAGTAGGTAAGAGGAGAGGGCCGCAGACTGGGAGAGCTTCTGACTCACAATATCCTCAGACAGCATGTGTGTCATTGAGTGTATCTGTGTATTTGTATGAGTGCCATTGTGTGTACCTGATATGTCTGTGTATCTGCATGTATGTTAGTGTGTGTTTCTGCATATCTGTCAGTGTGAGCCGCTGTGTATATGTGTGTGTCTGTGTATCTCTAGGTGTTTTAGTGTGTATGTATGGGTGTAAGTGTGTGTCTGGGTATCTGCATGTGTGTCACTGGGTGTATCTGTATGAATCTCATTGTGTGTATATGTGTCCCTGTGTCTGTATGTGTACTGTGTGTTTCTGTGTATCTGCATGTGTGTCAGTGTGTGCATCTGTGTGTTTGTGTATATGCAGGTGTGTCATTGTGTGTATCTGTGTACCTGTATGAGTGTCATTGTGTGTATATGTGTGCCTGTGTATCTGCAGGTGTGTCATTGTGTATATCTATGTATCTGTATGAGCATCATTGTGTGTATCTGCATGTCTGTGTATCTGCATGTGTGTCAGTTTGTGCCGCTGTGTATCTGCATGTGTGTTAGTGTGTCTGTATGTGTGTCAGTCTGTTTCTGTGTATATGCATGTGTATCAGTGTATCTATGTATTTCGGTGTGTGCCAGTGTGTTTGTACGTGTGTAGGGCATTGTAAATGTATATGTGCATATATCACAGCATTCACAGCAGCACCCAGCAAAGATGGACAATGGTAGAACCTTGCAATAGAGGGGCCCAAAGAAATCTTGCACAGGGTCCTCTCTACTTTAGTTGTTGCACTAAAGCTGCTGACACAAAATTAATGTTCTGTACTCACTGGCAGAACTACCGCGGTCGCAGGGGTCGCAATTGCCAGGGGGCCCGGTGTCTGCCGAGATTGTGGAGCGGCCCCAGCCACGTGGATCAACTGCCTTGAAGGGGCCCATCGGGTGGCCCATGCTCTTTGGACCACTCGATGGCAATGAATTACCTGGGGCCTGGTCAGCGCTGAGGCGCTTTATGAGAGCGAGGGCCCCAGTGATGACGTCAGAGCGCCCACTGGCGCTCGGAGGAAGCTGTCACTTCCTCCCAGCTAAGAGAGCCACGTGGGTGGAGAGCGCCAGAGAGGAGAGGAGGGAGTCAGAGTGGGAGCTCTGACTCCCATCAGCCGAAGGCAGCCACTGGACCCCAGGGAAGTCACCCTCCTGCACCTAAAGGTAGGAAACAGGAGGGTGACTAACATTTTTAACAGTTTGTGTGTGTGTGTGTGTGTGTGTGTGTGTGAATGTCTGTATCTGTGTGTCTGTATGTGTGTGTGACTGTCTGTATCTGTGTGTGTGTGTGTATGTGTGTGTGTGTATGTGTGTGAATGCCTGTATCTGTGTGTGTCTGCATGCGTGTCTGTATGTATATCTTTGTCTGTATCTGTCTGTATGTGGGTCTGTTTGTGTATCTGTTTGTCCTTAATTTTGTAACTTTCCTCTGTAAATTACCCAAAAAGTACTTAATATATAAACCTCTTTGTTTATATCCTGCCCCAGCAAGATCCAGGGATAATGACAGAAGAGACCAGGACTGTTGGTACATATAGAACAAATCATGGGACATTGCATTTTTGCTTAGAGATGTAATTACAAATACATAAGCTCTCACGTCTAAATTTAAACCGACAAAGACTACCCAGCAGCGAGAAACAATTAAATTGTTAGCTCTGTGACTCTAAATCTCATGAATATTATTCATTTGCTAAATTAGCGCAGTGCCCAATTTACTCTTCATTTAACTCATTTGGGGAGCTGACATCAATTGTGCTGTTGTTATTTTGCAGATCTATAGCTATCGAACAAGACAGCAAGTCAATAATAATGCAATTAGCTTCTAACCAGTGTATTATTTGCTTTGGCCTGGCTTAACCAATACAGGAAAATGTTTTTGCTTACAGTAAACAAATGTGAAAAGCTTTTAAATTCATTCATTTTCCAGTTGCGGAGGTGAATAGTTATTTGTGTTGTCTTCGTGTTGTCTTTTTTTTTTTCTTCTGCTCAGTGAATTGCACAGCATAACGTGAATTGAGGCAGTACATCTCTTTAAACAATACCTCCTATATTCCATTTGTAATGGGGTTGGTGTGAGAAAATGTAATTGTGTGTTTAACACGAAGCAGCCATACATGAAGATAAGGAGGGCTGAGTGTCTGGATATGGTAATCCGAACAAGCAAATTCAAAATCTTGGAATATTCCTATGATGAATGATTCATACAGATAATATAAAAAGAGCCCATAATTTATTAATTTGAATTTCTATGCATTCTTAGCCAATGTATGTATAGAGAAAATTCAGCGATAACATTTGGGTATTTTTATTAAATTAATTGGTATGATTTAATGAGGCCCTTGCTTTACATGGCTAAAAAGAAAGTTTATTTGCATATAAAATAATACATTTGCAGAAGCCTAGGAGGTACGTTTAATCGGAAAGAAAAAATTTATGGCCTGAAAAACTTAAAGTCTAAGTTTCATAAACCTTGTGATTATATTAATATTTTGTAGGCCTTAGTTAAGCGGTGGCTAATCTTGGAACTAGATACGTTAAAGAACTTCAAGTCCCATGATGCACAGTCAGCCTAAGCCATCATGCAAATATCAAACAGTATTCCTGCTTGTTTTGTGCCAGAATTTCATGTAGAGAAGGGCTGGTTAAATGCCCTTGCATGTGCAATGCAACTTTGTATGTGTGTTTATGTCTATGGGAAATATGACAGTAATGAATTACCTGTTTTAGCAACCCCCCAAAAATGCATGAGTAATATGTGTAAGTATTTAGGTATGTATGTGTGCAATATGTGTGTTTTGTGTTAATGTCAATGCTTACATGTAAATAATGTTTGTGAATGTGTATGTCTGTGGAGAACCCACATCATAGACCATTTTCATTACTGGCCTTCTCCTCTCTTCTAGGCGGCTGCTTGTTGACCACAATGTGTACAATTATTGAAGCCCAGGCTACTTCCTTCATAGGCCTCTGATAATTCCATCCTGGTGCTAACTGAATTATCAGAGGCCTTTGCAAAAAGCAGCATGGGTGTCTATAGTCCTACACATTGTAGCCAATAATCTGCCATAGAGGGGAGAGGAGGAATCTGTGTACGGGCCTGGCTAGTAACAGGTAGGCGAATTAACAGGGCTTGTTAGGGAGATTCCTTGATTTACCCAGTTGGGCCTTGGCTCATGCAAATACAATATTGCAGATTGGCCCACACAGTGAACCATGGTACCAAGGACTCCACCTCCAGTTCCTCCAAACTAACTCAAACAGTCAACTCTACTTAGCAATTCAATGTGTACCTTTATTGAGTCACCAAAACAAAATAAATCAGCAGCAGTTTTGTCCCTCTGAAGTCTTTGTCAAGCCTTCTTGAATTCACAAAGACCCAAGATGGTCAAAATGATGGTGAAGTCAACTTGTTTTGGTAACTGAATAAAGGCATGTATTGAATTTGATATCTTTTGCTTGTCCCTGGTCCATGACCACTGATAGCCACTTTACACTTTCCTGGTTTTCTTTTGTATTTGAGAAAGGAATGTAAGACTTCACTTTTTTATGTGAAGAATGTCAAAGACCATGTACTCAGCAAAACCATCAGCAATGTGGAGTTTGGCCGAGACTGCCATTTCACTCACCAGAAAATCCATATTTCAGCCACTTGACCTTCTCTGACTGGATGTTTATATTGTTTGGGTTATCCGTACACATTATGTATGTGGTTTTTTATTTGTAGTGATTGCATAGGTAGGTGCGCAATACATGTTAGTGTATGAATCCCTTGCCACAGCCTCCACCATAATCAGGAAGGTTTGGCTAGGGCCCCCTATGGCAAGTAACACCATGTACTTCGGTGAAATTAAGTTGTTTTGAGAGCATGGAAGATGGATGGAAAGTGCCTTCAGCAAGAGGCAGGCCCATATAAAAAGGAGTGTCCAGCCATTGTAGACCGAGAGACAGGAAAAGATGGGACAAAGCTTAGGAATATCTGGAAATCTACAAAAAAATATATGAAATGTCTGTTTTTATTATTTTATTTGTCTTTTTGATTGATTATTTAGAGACAATGCATTATTTACTAGCTGAGTGTAAATTGCTCCTTCGAATATCCTTTCAATTTGAGATTTTGTGGTTTGTTTGTTTTTTTTTACACCGTTTTACTGTCTCTGTAACAAAATGTGATTCCCTTTCAAAGGCAAACACGGCTAAAAGTCATTAGATTTCACATTTCTATGTTTTTTTTTCCAGGATCTCTGTTTGCAGTTGTCAGTCTGTAGTGAATATTTCTGCTAAAAATCATTTTCTACTCGTTTGAAACACATAGAAACAAAATAACCATAATCTTATTTGATATTTACCGTGCGCAGTACAGCAGAGCGTTTTTCTCAATTCTACAACCATACAAATTGTCTGATTGCCTTGTCTTCTATTCCATACTCCTTTAAATAAAAATAAAAAAGCTTAGTGACCCGTCAATTGAAGAAAAAAAACTGTTATGTAACAGAGAAAAATGTCTTGATTTTGCATAGGTGAACATTTTTCAAGATATTTTCCCTAACACTTTTTTCATTTCCTCTATATATTAAGTGCGTTGAATGTTATTTCCCAATATTAATATGAGCTCTCTTTGCTGATTGGCTACTTATATTTGTGTTTTAAAATTTTATAACATGTTCTATAAATAATGAAATAGATAGTTGGTGTAGATTAAACTTGAGCACTCAATTGGGTCTATCCGCTGTTTGCCAGAATTCAGTAACATACAAACCTATACGCGAGCAAATGACTAGCGCAATAGCCAAACATTAGATATTCTGAGTTTTTTCCCTGTGGCATTAAAAAAGAGACGATTGATGGACAAAAAGATGAATGATGGCTAGGGGACAGCCACTAAATATTGATTTTATTCACAGATCAAATGAGAGAAAATAGGATTATTCTATATTTATATATTACATATGTAGTAAATATGTAGATATAGAAAAAAAAACAGAGCATCAGATAAAAAAAATGTTGACACAAGTTTAAATGAATTTCAATATTTTATTCAATTGTGTAATTTACAAAGAGTTAAAGTTTCATTATTGCTTTATTATAACACTATTACTTCTATATTTAGAGTAAATGGAATTTTGACCCCAGGTTGATGAAGTTAGGTTTAGAGTTAGGTTTAACTGTAGATCATTAATCATACCAAATTTTAGATTTCGGAGTTAATGTTAGGTTTAGAGTTAAGATGCATATAAGAGTTTAGAACTACTTTCTTAGAAAGCTAATGAACCTTATCCCTAACCCGAGTAAGGATTAGAAGTAGAGTTTTGAAGTCACGTCTCCAGGACATGCTGGCAATTGAGAGAAGTTGCAAAGTGTTCTTGTTGGTTAAATATTGTATCAATAAATAAATATTTGAGAGTTAAAGGTTAGGTAGAAAGCTACAGTCAAACCCTTTACGAATTTAGAATTAAAGACATAATTAAATTAAGTATACACACACAGGTTGTGGAAAGGTGGCGCTATAGAATTATTATATTGAAGTGAATTTAGCTGCTATACACTCTGTGGGTACTCCTAAAAACCCAACATACATAGAAATCACCAAAAAACAATAAAGGAAATTTTCAGATTTATCAGGTGTCTATCCCTTTAAATTTACACTGAAGCGCTTCACTCACGGGAATTGAGGATTTAAAGGGATAGACACCTGATAAATCTGAAAATTTCCTTTATTGTTTTTTGATAATTAAATTAAGGTTAGGTAAAATATAATCTGGAAACTAACACAAACAATAGGCATGCAATCTTGCATGTAGTACACCATGTTCTGATCCAGTGGCTGTTGAGTGGTGTGAATGTTGAACGGTCCTGCGCCAAGTTATAGTGCGTCACATCCCTGTTTAATTTGGCTGTAAAGTGACCCACCCAAATCTCTGGTATATCTTGAGAATGAAAGACAACAGCCATTCCTACCAGTAACATATCTAAACTAGGGTTACAAGTTCTATAATGTTTACCTAGAAACGTATACAAGGTGTCTAAACGGTGTTGAGCAGTACATGAAGTGTGCATCCATGCAGTGTTTAGAATGCTGTAGAAGGTAAATTACTTCCCTCTTGTAGCCTTTGTATAAAAATATTAAACATATGGTGCGTTTTGGCAAATCTTGTCCAGAACTCATTCACGACATCATTGGTTAGGCCAGAGCTGTCTCATGCTTAAACTACCTAAATTACAAGTTAAATTACAAGTTAAGACCCGATACTTACTAAATAAAGAACCCATAAGATACAACACGCGGGTCACCAAAACTTTCAGAAATAATTAAAATGGATAGCCTGGTATTTAAGTCTGCTGTAACACATTGTTGCATTATAACCCAGAGCAATTAAAGGTACAGAATCATTTATTTAATGATTGATCCCCCTTAAATCCTTCCTGTGTTTGGTACTCACTCAAAAACTATTTCAATTAAATCAATAGACTTTCCTGTATGAAGAGCCGTAGAAGCAGTATATTTGGTTAATAAGTAACTGCAATCAGTGAACTGTCTCACGGTAGACCTTTCTCTGCCAAATTCTACCTTTGAATAATTATTTCTCAATTAAATGTTCCACATTACAAATATTTTCTGTTTAAAGATGTTCTTCAACTGGGACAAAACATTAACTAAGTATTTTCAGACACAAGAATTAAAGGGACTCCAGGTATGTGTTTAACGGACTTTCATTTGGTAGGGCATCATCCCAAAAAATCAATTTGATTATGTAAAGTGGATTAGAGACATGACTGTTGCAAATAAAAAAATAAGAAAAAGACAAACTGGAACTACCCCATTATTCCTAATTATAAGAATACGTGGATAACTGTCCCTGTACAATAAAACCCTGTCCTTTGTTTACTAACAAAAAAAATATTTTTAACATGGAGGTAAATCCACCATGGGGTTGATTTACATAGTACTAACATAGTCCTAACATAGTTGCATAGCTGAAAAGAGACTTGCGTCCATCAAGTTCAGCCTTCCTCAAATTTGTTTTTTGCTGTTGATCCAAAAGAAGGCAAAAAAAAACAGTTTGAAGCACAATTTTGCAACAACCTAGGAAAAGAATTCCTTCTTGACCCCAGAATGCAGTCAGATTTATCCTTGGATCAAGCAGTTATTACCCTACATTGAAAGGTTATATCCTTGAATATTCTGTTTTTGCAAGTATGCATCTAGTAGCTGTTTGAACATCTGTATGGACTCTGATAAAACCACTTATTCAGGCAGAGAATTCCACATTCTGATTGTTCTTACAGTAAAAAAAAACATTTCCTTTGCCTTAGATGAAATCTTCTTTCTTCCAGTCTAAACGCATGGCCTTGTGTCCTATGTAAAGTCCGGTTTGTGAATAGATTTCCACACAATGGTTTGTATTGGCCCCCGAATATATTTGTATAATGTTATCATATCCCCTCTCAGGTGATGTTTTTGTAAACTAAATAGGTTTAAATTTGTTAACCTTTCTTCATAGCTGATATGTTCCATTCCTTTTATTAATTTTGTAGCCCGGCTCTTCACTTTTTCTAGTGCCATAATATCCTTCTTTAGAACAGGTGCCCAAAATTGCACAGCATATTCAATATGTGGTCTTACCAGTGATTTATAAAGAGGTAGAATGATATTCTCGTCCCGAGAATGAATGCCCTTTTTCATGCATGACAATACCTTACTGGCCTTGGCCACTGCTGATTGACATTGCACATTGTTGCATAGTTTGCTGTAAATAACAATTCCCAAGCCCTTTTTGTGTGTTGTTATCCCTAATTCACTTATATTAAGGGTATACATTGCTTGTGTATTCTTTACGCCGAAGTGCATAACTTTGCATTTTTTAACATTAAATTTCATCTGCCATTTGAGTGCCCAGTCCCCCAGTCTATCTAAATCCCTCTGCAGCAAAGTAATATCTTGCTCACATTGTATTATTTTACAGAGTTTTGTGTCATCTGCAAACACTGTAACATGACTTTTAATGCTGTCTTCAAGATCATTTATAAACATGTTAAATAGAAGGGGTCCCAGAACAGACCCCTGAGGGACACCACTTGCCACCTCTGTCCAGCTTGAAAATTTACCATTAATGACAACTCTCTGTACTCTGTTTTTAAGCCAATGTTCTACCCAAGAACAAGCATTTTCATCTAGACCAATTTCCTTGAGTTTGAACACTAATCTATTGTGTGGAACTGTATCAAAATAGATCACATCCACTGCAACACCCTGATCCATACTTCTACTTACTTCTTCGTAGAACGCAATCAAGTTAGTTTGACATGACCTGTGCTTCATAAAACCATGCTGATTTTTGCTGATAACCATGTTCTTCTCAAGGAATTCTTGAATATTATCCCTTAATATCCTTTCAAATATTTCCCAGCCACAGAAGTGGCTTTTGCCGATAATTTTAAACATATAGATATAAAGTAAGACAGTTAAGCAGTGTAATATTCTGAAATGGCAAAAAACGTTCAATCTTGTATCACAAGATTACTGGTTGGCAATTGGGATGTAGAGTTTGGTACCCATTTATATTTATTGGTTCCTCACTAGTTCAAACAAGCTCATCATCATAAGATTTTAACCAATTGCCAAAACTGATCGAATGGGGAGTCGCAATCTTAATAATGAACAGGGCTGATGCCATGTATATGATATGGTTACTGTCCTTGAGTTAATTTGTTTTCTAATTAGCCGAACTCCCAGTTTGGAGTCAATAGCTTGAGGCTGAATTCTGCACTTCTTAGATATCTTTGAGGAACACTCTAAGCACCACAACCACTGTAGTTCACTGCAGCGGTTATGGTGTCATGAATTACTTGGCACTGTATCGTGGCACTCTCAAGCAAAGTAAAAAGTTGCATAAAACTGATATCGCTACAGCAGGAGGAAGGTATTGCGGTTGCCCACGGGGGTTGAACCACTCAAAGCAGCAGGCTGAAATGGTTACGGCGACAGTTTGAGTTATTTGTGTAGGCAGGAACTAGGGGACTCCTTGCAACATAACCAAGTCAGTGGGCTGCAGTGGTTATGGTGTTCACAGTTCCCCTTTACAAATGAAATCTAGCTGCAGATGGCTAGCTCAGCTGCTGCTGCAGTTTCACACAGAGCACGTAGAACAATTGCAGCAGGAGGAAAGTTAGGTTGAGCAGCAGCTGGTCAGGTAATAATAGAATCTGACCCAATATGGCTGATTGAAATACACCCGAATTACCGACTAACCAAACAGTGCAATGCTGAATATATTCGCTGGGGGTCAGTGTTCTAAATACCGCCTGTGTCACACAAAAAACCTGATTGATGGCATGTAAGCTGGGTGATGGCTATGAGACAGCCACAAAATATTGATATTATCCACAAATCAAGTGAGAAGCCCGCAATAGAGGGTAAAATTGGAGGAACCGTGTAATAAAATTCTATAATTATACATTTATATATTTAATAAATATTCCTGTTTTTCCCAATATTGGCTCATTTTTCTCAGTTGACCTGTTACCAAATAGCGGGAAAATGCTCCTATCAGTGTACTGCAAAATAAAAAATAAAATATTATGTGATGTATAAATTTTGCAGCACACTGATTGGCCCATTCTCGTCACTTATGACGGCTGCTGGGATTGGACAAAAGTTAACATTTACAACTTCAGGCTTATTAATGAAATTACAATGCAGTCATTAGTATTTCACAGAGATTAGATTTTTATGAAATAGTAATGTGACAGAGCGCTTTAAATGTAATGAACTTTTAAAAAAACAAGAAGTGAAAATGTTTTGACAGTTGTTCTTTAAGGTAATACACACAAAAAACTAATAATAATAACAAATACCTTATAGATTACTGAATCGCTTACAACAGTTAATGTAGACAGGAGCTCATGCTTATTTGATGATTGCATTTTGTTATTAGAATCATCACATATGCAGAATTATAATAAAGTGATATTTCTATATGAATAATGAAAGAAATTATAAAAAATTTCATGCGACGTTACTTATTGTTCTCATTTCTCACAAAACACATCACAAAAGTAAGGTGGTTCATTGAAATGTGTGTGACTACAATTCCCATCATTCTCTGCTCAGGTTAATGAACATGGGTGCCTCAACTTGTACCCTGCCCTGAACTAAAGACATCAAAACATGACCAATCAAAAATAAATAAATCCTGGAAAATCTCAAAATTCATCAAAAATTGAATTCACCAAAACCAGCCTTTAAAAAAAATCAACCTCATATTTCATAGCGTTTTAAAAGTAATATGTTCTATTCCACAGCCATGAAATAGGGCTCTATACGAAATAAAAAGCAATTTCGCTGTGAACAAGTGGTATTTTCAATTCATGTCCTGCATCATTCTCGCATGATGACCGCTAACAGTATAATTGAACTGATATGTCCTTTTTACAAGGCTCGGAAAGTGTATTATAGAAAGACAATATTGT